GAGGTAAAGGTCAAAAGCTTTTGTGGAAATCACAACTTCATTTTCAAAACCTAGAGTATCCTCCAACAATTAATCTGTGGGTGTAGTGCATACCTTGTGTCAAGTGCAGGGTGTTCTGGGCACCCAGCATGTGAATGTTAACAAAGGAGTGTCCACATGCCCCTGCCTTGGAAATGTCTTTCCTTGCTCCACTGAACTGATGCTAGAACATCAATTTAAGGTTTTTTCAGCCTAGATGAAAGAAATTTAATTCATGGCTCCTACAAGTCATTAAAGTGTTGTCTCTGCAAGTCATCAGGAACAGCTCCTGTACCCATGCCTGTGCTGCCTGAACCTCCAGGTGCCTGTGCCCTGCTCCAAACTCAGGCTCCCCTTCACTCCCCAGCCCTAACCTGGAGTTTCCTGGTTCTCTTGTGCATTTCCTAACATCTTCCCCTCTGAGTCTAAAAGGTTTGTTATCTTTCCTTTGTTTACACAGACATTCTTTTTCTCTGCCCCACCATCTTCTCCCGCTAAGACTCTAGAGGCAAATTGCCTGGGTTCCAATCCTAGGCCCATCACACATTTCCTAAGTATAGAACTTAAGGCAGATGGCACACATATTCCGAGTCTCCATTTCCTCATCGGTCCTATATCTACTTCACATCACTGGTTTTAAGGAGTACACTTTTAGTTAAACATGGAAATCACTTTTATAAGGATAGTCACAGGACCATTATTCACAGTTTTTCTAAGGTGAAAGACCGTCTCTTAACTAGTAAAGAAATAAATAAAATAGGAAATGATACAACATGCTATTTGTCTTAGTTAGGGTTTCTATTGCTGTGAAGAGAGATCATGACCACAAAACCTTTAATTGGGTAAGTTACAGTTCAGAGGTTCAGTCCATTATCATCATGGTGGGAAATGGCAGCATGCAGGCAGACATGGTGCTGGAGAAGGAGCTGAGAGTTTTAAATCTTGTGCAGGCAACAGGAATTCATCTGCCTCACTGGGAGTAGATTGAGTATAGGAGACCTCAAAAGCCCACCCCCACAGTGACACATTTCCTCCAACAAGCCCCTGCCTACCCCAACAAAGCCATGCCTCCTAATAGTGCCACTCCTTTTGGGGAACATTTTCTTTCAAACCACCACATTCCACTCCCTAGCCCCCAAAGGCTTGAAGCCGTATCATAATGCAAAAAATGCATTCAGTCCAAAGTTCCTGTAGTCTATAACAGACTCAAACTTGTTTCAAAGTATAAAGATCAAAGTCTCTTCTGGGATTCATGCAGTCTCTTAACTGTAATCCCCTATAAAAATCAAAAAAGCAGATCACATACTTCCAACATATAATTGCATAAATATACATTACCATTCCAAAATATAGGGAAGGGGGCATAGTGAGGAAATACTGAAACAAGACAAGATTGAAAACCAGTTAGGCAAACTGCATCTCCACGTCTAATATGAAAATGCTCTTCAGATCTCCAACTCCTTTTAGCTTTATTGACTACAACACACTTCTTTCTTCTGGGCTGGTTCCACTCTGTGTTAGCAGCTCTTCTTAGCAGGTATCCCATGACTCTGACATCCCCCAACATCTTGGGGTCTCCAAGGCAATCCAGGTTTCAACTTCACAGCTTCATGCAATGGCCTCTCTGGGCCTCCATGCAGGGACACCCCTGCCACTTGTCTGACTTCAGCAGCTTTCCTTAGTCACACTGGGAGATTCCATAACCCATTTCTTCTACCCTTGACTCTAAAGCCAGAACCATGTAGCTGAAGCTGCCAAGTTCTGCTGCTTACTGGGGTTGGAACATGGCCCCCTCATTCAATTACATCTTCCACAACTTTCTGTTTTTTATGCCTTCCCTTCCTACCTAAGCTTGCCTGTTTGGGAACTGGATCTGTAGACAAGGTTGGTCTCAAACTCTGAGATCTGCCAGCCTCTGCCTTCTAAATGCTGGGATTAAAGGCGTGTACCACCACACCTGACTCTAAGTGTTTCTTTAATTCCTTTTCACAAGTTGGAAGCTTAGCTGGGTGGGATCTTGCCCTGAGGTCACCAATCCCTTTGTTCCATTTTTAAATCTGTTAATCTCCTTAAACATAGGACTTAGCTCCATTCCACTTTCTGGTGTTCTTTTTCTCCTCAAATTGTACATTTGTACATCTTTTGTTCAGTGTCTTAGTTAGGGTTTCTATTGATTTGAAGAGACATGATGATCACAGCAACTTTTATAAAGCAACACCATCATCACAGCAACTTTTTATAAAGGAAAAACATTTAATTGGGGCGACTTACATTTTCAGAGATTTAGTCCATTATCATTATGGTGCGACATGGTTCTGGAGAAGTAGCTGAGTGTCCTACATCTTGACTTTTCAGGCAACAGGAAATGGACTGAGACACTGGGTGGTATCTTGAGAGCATACAAGAACTCAAAGCCCATCCCCAGAGTGATATATTTCTTCCAACAAGGCCACACTTCCTAATAGTGCCACTCCCTTTGGGGGCCACTTTCTCAGCTTGTTTCTTTTCATTATAAATCTTTGTAAGAGTGATCACTAATAACCACATGACAGAGTCAATGCTAGGCTGTTTTGAGATTTCCTCTGCCAATAGAATTAATCCAAAACTCTTTACTTTATCTCAGGCAGACTCTTTAGACAAGGGCAAAAAGCAGCCACATTCTTCACCAAAACATCACAAGAACTATCTCTAGGCAACATACTAAAGTTCTTCACATCTGAAACATCTTGAGCCAGCCCCGCACCATTCAAATCATTCCTAGCACCATTGTCTTCCATGCTCCTACTAGTATGGCCCATTAAGCAGTACTTAAAGCACTCCACTGCTTTCCTAACCCAAAGTACCAAAGTCCATATTCCTCCAAACAAACACATAGTCAGGCCTATCACAATACCCCAGTCCCTGGTACCAACTTCTGTTTTAGTTAGGATTTCTATTGCTGTGAAGACACACCATGACCATGGCGACTTGTATAAAGGAAAACACTGAATTGAGTGGCTTACAGTTCAGAAGTTGAATCCATGATCATCATGGTGGGACATGGTGGCATGCAGGCAGACATGGTGCTGGAGAGGAAGCTGAGCTTTCTATATCTGGATCCACAGGCAACAAAAGGTCTTTCTCACTGAGAGTAGCTTAAGCATAGGAGTCCAACAAGGCCACACCTACTGCAACAAAGCCACACCTAGTAGTGCTACTCCCTTTGGGCGCCATTTTCTTTCGGACCACCACACTACTCATCTCCAAAAAGGAATGAAGTACTGGTGCATAATATAACCTTGGGTGAACCTTGAAAATATACTATATGAAAACAGTCAAGGCCAACAAGATTTTGTGTAGCTAGTCTTTCTCTGTCCTACCAGCCAGCTCTCTAATTATGACCTGGAGACTTATTATTAATTATGAAATCTTGGCTGATAGCTTAGGCTTGTTTATAACTAGCTCTTATAACTTGAATTAACCCATATATTTTATTTTACTTTCTGCCTCATGGCTTTATTACCTCGTCTCTATATTGCCCATCCTGCTTACTCAGAGTTTCGTGGTGTCTCCACCTTCTTCCCAGCGTTCTCTCTGCCCCCAAATTTCTGCCTAGCTATTGGCTGTTTAACTTTTTATGAAACCAATCACAGTGACACATCTTCAGAGTGTACAAAATGATTGTTCCACGACAATTTTGTATGATTTATTCATGTAATATGTTCCCAATAGGAAAATCCATAGACAATAAATTAGTGGTTTTTCTGGGACACAAGCCAACAACTCTTTGTAATCATCTATGCCAACTGGGGTCCTTGGCCATAGCTATTTGATTTATCCACTGGAAAATTATAGGTGTGAATGCTGTGCAAGTTTGGGTTTCCATACAGTTTTTCTTTAGAAGGATGAAAATTATCTAAAATCAATTGTGATGATAGTTTGCTTAATTCTGTGATATTCTAAAAACAAACAAACTAACAAAAAACCCACTGAATTCTATAATTTAAAGGGAAGTGATGTAAATCAATTTTGTTTCTTTTTGAAGAAAAAATCATAACATACAAATTTTTTGTACAAATATTCTTGAGGGATGCCTCAACAAAACTTTTTAGTTTTGTCTCAAAGAGAAATTTCCATGTAATGGCCTGCACTTGCCCTAACATACTTATATAGGAATTTTTTTCTCAGATAAATGTCAGGCTTTCCTTTCACTGTTGTACCCAGGCTTCTAGCCACATACTCTTGGTAACCTTCCACATCTGCTGGGATCTGTGGCACTATAATCTTTGGTTTATCCACTGGAAAATTATGGTGGTGAAAGAAAGATTGTGCAAGTTTTTTTTATTCAGAAAACAAATAGAGAGATATACTATGTTTTGTACATGTTTTATCTTTACATTAAGTAAGTTAATGAAACACCCTGGCATCCACAAAGTGACAGTGTGCTTGCCATCAAGCCTGTCAACCTGAGTTAAATACCCAGGCTCCACATGGTAGACAGAGAGAACCAACTTACACAAGCTGTTCTCTGGCCTCTACATACAGTCCATGGCATGGATGTTCTTGAATGAATGAATGAATGAATGAATGAATGAATGAATGAATGAATGAATTGTTTTAGCTTTCCAGCACCTTATGATATTCTTTAAGCTATAGGGTATATGACAAGTCATATAAGAAACACTCTGGAGCCTGTCCAACTGATATAGAGACCAAGTTAAGTTTTCTGCAGTCTTCAGCCTCCTTCCATTCTGGTAGCTGAAGCCCTGTGGCTGCTTGCCAGGCACTGCCACCTCCTCCTGGCCTCTCTCTTTGCTTTTGGGATTCACTAGATCCTAGCTTGCTCTCCTCCAAGGATTTTCCAGCTTGCCCACATGGCAGAGTCCCGGCTAAACTATCTTCACACTTCTTCCTGTCCTCCCTGTATTGAGGTCTCCCAAGCCCAGCAGCTGTGTTCCCGAAACTGACACCTCCCAGATCCTCTCTACCCCATTGAGACTCACCAAATCCCAGCCTGTACCTCAACAGGACTTCTCCAGGCACCACCAATGACCTGAAGATCCAGAGCTATGCCAGCTGCCTAATTGGATCCTCCAGTTGTCCCAAGGCAAGTCCACACTTTCAGAACTGTGATTCAAGCTCCTGGCAAAGGTCACTCAAGGCACCAAGACTATATTTGACAAACAGAAGAACTGGAATAGACTTTGGTTCCAAATACCAGATAAACAGAGAAAATCAATACTCAACCTTTAGGTGAATTAGCTCCCCCCAGAACATTATAAACATGGAAAAAAAGAAAGTTGGCATGAGCAAAAAGACAGATTCAAACAACAAACTAATTCAGATGCACCAATCTCAATATAGAAATAAAAATAATATATACACACTTGAGATAAGGAATTTAGAGGAATAGTCAAACAACTTGAAAGAGACAAAGTAATGAATGAAACAAGGGAATTAATCCAAGATGTGAAAATTGAGTTCAAATTGATGAAAAAAACTCAAACATAAGTGAGTCTAGAAATGAAAAACTAAATAAGCCAAAAAAAAAAAACCTAATCAACAAAATAGATATTGTCAAAACAGTCAGGGATGGAAGACAAAGTAGAGAAATTGGAACACTTAACACCTCCCATAGGCATAAGAGAAGAATACCGTAGTGAAGGCATAGAAAATATCTTTATTAAAATCATAAAAAGTAAATTCCCAAACCCAGAGAAAGAAATGACCATCCAGGTACATGAGGCTTATGAAAAGACAAGACCAGAAATTAAATTTTCCTCAAGATATTATACTTAAAAGATTAAAAACCCAGTATTATTTTTTTAAAAGCCACAAAAGGGAAAAGTCAAGCCACTTATGAAGGTAGACTGATTGGAATAACATCCAATTATTTGACAGAAACCCTTAAAAGTAGAAGGACCTTGTTTTGGTTAGGATTTCTGTTGCTGTGATGAAACACCATGACCAAAAAGCAAGTTGGGGAGCAAAGGGTTTATTAGGCTTACACTTCAGCATTGCTGTTCATCACTGAAGAAAGTCAGGACAGGAACTCAAACAGGGCAGGATCCCAGAGACAGGAGCTGATGAGGAGGCCATAGAAGGGAGCTGCTTACTCGTTTGCTGCCCATGGCTTTTTCAGTCTGCCTTCTTATAGAACCCAGAACTAACAGCCTAGGGATGGCACCCCCTACCATGAGTTGGACCTTTCCCCATTGATCACTAAATGAGAAAATACCTTATAGCTGGATCTCATGGAGGCATTTCCCCAGGTGAGGCTCTGTAGATGAATTTCTAAACAGTCTTATTAAATAAGAAACACAGAGCCAAATACAGGGGTGCAATCAGAGCAATAGCCGCCAACTAACCATAGCCGTAGCTTCCCAAGAGAGCCTCTTCCTGTCTAACCTGCACCTTTATTACCTTCCTGTTCTGCCTGCTCATTAGCTCTAAGCCCAGACACATCACTTACTCGTCACTGCCTGTCTATACAGACCTCCGGGTCTCTATGGTTGGTACTGGGATTAGAGGTGTGTGTCACTGTGCCTGGCTGTGTCCTTGAACACACAGAGACTCTGCCTGCCATGTGATAGAACCAAGAGCATGTGCCGCCACCACCTGACCTCTGTTTATGGCTGGCTATGACCTCTGATCTCCAGGAAAACTCCATTTATTAACATACAAATAAAATATCACATTTCAGCACAAATAAAATATCACCACAGAGGCTCCTTTCTCTGATGACTCTAGCTTGTGTCAAGTTGACACACAAAACCCCCCCAGTATAGGCCTGAAAA